GTGTCAGATGAGTTACCTGCTTCTCTGGCAAGGTACCTTGCGATTGCCAGGCTCTGGTGAATGATCACTCCATCTACTTCCAGAATGGGGACTTTGCCGAATGGGATAGCTTGGAGGGAAGAAAAGAAAGAAATGAAATAAAATCATTGTCCTTAACTGCGAGTTGCACTTTCACCATGCTTGAAGGGAAATCTGTGTTACAGCATTTAGAGGTTTCACTGTGTTTCTGTAGGGAAATGCTATAGACATGGACTAAAAAGAAAAATCGGGGTAAGGAGAAACCACCTCACACTGCAAGAAGGCAGCTGTAGTGTAGAAACCAACTACTGCATTTCCTATTTCCTTGTGCTTGTGCTTTAAAACCTGAATACATCCCTAGGTACCTTGGATTCCTTACAGAGAAAGATTTTTTTCTTCAGAAGCGTGTAGCTCCTTTTCAGCTTTCTCCTCCCCAGGAAAGTGAGCGCCAAGGCTAGGCCAAGTACTACGGAAGTCTTTGTAGCGCAGGGCCCAGCTGGGGTATGAAATAGAAGATTGGGCACACTGCAAAGATGCTTGCTTGCTGCTGTTCTTTCAGTGGAAGTATCTGTATTTCAGAATTTTATCCTGTGACAAGACTTTCCACGTGGCAGTTCTCCAAAGAGATGATATGAAAGCTTATCTCACTGGGAGACAAGTACAACTCTCACAATGAACCACAAATGCTAGGATATTCAAATCTACTTGACTAGGCTTGCATTCAAAAACAAAAACTCAGTCCTGGGGAAAAGGCCTCCAGACACTGAGCATATGTGAAGGCAGACTAAGCAGGCATGATATACCTGTAAGAACTTGAGCTGGCACAATAGATACGTGTGAGGATGTATTCATTCAGTGCTATCTTGTATGTCAAAACTTGGGTTTCTGTTACACCACATTTTGGTTGGCATGACTTCAAGAGGGGCTGGAACATTGGAATTGAGCTGAATCTAAGAAAAACATGGGAAGCTGGAAAATATGAGAATCTAATAACCACAGGAGTCTAGAGTACGATACAAGGCAGAGAATTCAAGGTGCAGCAGGCTATGGCTAGCAGGGAGGTAACATACTGTTCCCTCATCTATTCCAGTTGCTACAAAAATCTTTGCTGGCCTGTAATTCAGGAAGACCTGTAGGGTTGTCTAATGGGGTGAGGGATTTCTTTGACTGTTCTGTAGGAGCAGGGCTTATCTGGATGCCACCATGTTCAAGGCAATGTGAAACTGTCACCTTTCTTTGGTGCAATGATTATTTTAGATAGATGTGGCTGTGATTGCATTCTTTGTTAGCATAAACTATGGAGGACAGAAGAATCTGTGTGTCAGTTCAACTAACTTGGTGTGTTTAGTGCCAGTTAAATTTCTGTTGTTTCTGCAGGTTCCAATGAGATGAGTACATGAGCTCAGCTAACTATGAGATGTACACCTTCTTTCCACAGATGTTACTGACTTTTCTGATTCTCCAAATCCACTGCTGACACTTGATAAGAAGTGCAGCCCAGATTACAAATTTTATGGGATCTCCCAGTGGGTAATTCTGAACACTCTCCTAAAGTAGATGAGCAATAGGAGGAGAAAATAATGAAATCTGATGCACTTTTCACTGTTTATCAAAATAATAGTGTTGCCACACGGCTCTGTGGTTTAGCATGGAATATGCGAATTACTTTAGGTATGAGACTCTTAATATCAAACCTGAATGAATTTGGGAGCTACACAGAACATACAGGATTCCTGTGTGCAGTTTTTCCTGCATGTGAATAGAGTACCTTTCCTTCCCCAGGCTCAATGCGCTGTGAGGCCAGGATGCATGTCAATGTTAACGACTAGCAGAAGCAAGGGAGATCAAAGGGAATTAACTGTATTTCTCCAGGGAGAAAGCATGCAATGCTCACTTGTTCTGAAACAATAGTAGCCTTTTTTCCCAGAAAACTTCATATGTTTATTATCCTGTGAGCAGCAAAGTCCTTGAAATTCCACATATTGCTTCACCTGTTTATCAAATCCAGAGAGAAAAAGAACATCTCTGAATGCTAAATTGAAGAACTTTCTGTTTGTGAAAATGAGAACAGCCTTGGTTCTCCCACAGGCCAGCAGTGCTGGATGCCCTGGGCCCCAAAGCTGCAGAGCTTTGGAATTAGAGCTTTGGCTCATACTGAATAGCAGCGCATTCTTCAAGGAAGCGTCCTTCCAACACCCCAGCCCCAAAAGAGATCACGCTGCAGAGATTGGCAAGAGGGTAGTAGATAAAGTGTAGTTCAGAAACAAAGAATGTTGCCTGGAAGGAGTTAAGGGGATGCCTGTAGAGGGCTGTTAGGGGCACAGCAGTCTGATACAGCTTTGACTTGATCATCATGACTCAGCCAGATTCTTTGGCAATAACTGCCAGAACACAGCAATGACAGTTCAGGTTGGGAAACTGTAATTGCTTAATCCCAAACAGAACAGACTATTTTCTAATGAGCTTACACATGAGGGGAGGAAGTCTGACAGCTTCAGTTTGACTGACGTTTCACTCTGATGCTCATTAAGTGGAAAATGAAAACCAGCTTGTTTGTCTGCTTGTTGAGAAGCCGTCAGTGATGGCAAAAAAAAGGGGGAGACATCTTTCTGACAGCTGAGGAAGATGGGTAAAGACATGACAGGCAGCATGGTGCTAATCATTTTCCATGTCCTGTTTCTCAGGGGTGTGCTCAAGTCTGGATTACTTTGTTTTTTCCTGTCATTCCACTGAATTCTAGGAAATGGCTTGAAGGTACCAGTCATGCCTAGTAACATTTTTTTTTCTCAGCTCTGACCTGTTTTCATTAGAATCTAGTTATTTTTTTTTTATTATTTTTTGCCAAGAGGCAGCATGTATGTTGTTACTGTTACTATGCGATAAAGTCTTTAAAGCATAACAGTTAGTAAACAGGATAGCCTTTTTCCTTTCTTTCCTCTTCAAAATGTGATTCAATTATTTTTCTTTCTTGCAAAGAACACAGAACATAGATATTTTTCATGATGGTGCAATGCCTGATATGGCCATACACTGACCTTACTGTGCTGATTTCTTGATTATTGAATTACTGAGCTGCAAATGAGCGCAGCTTCTGAGAGGTTTGAGGAGAGCCCACTTGTGTTGACTGTTGTAAAGATCTATCAGTTGTTCAAGAATCTTTAGCTGGGTGGTGGGCTATCCTTGCACACACAGAAATGTGGCAGACATCCACAGAACAGTCAGAACAGAAGACATTCATGGTGCATTTTCTCTACGTTAGAGGATAAGGTATAGTGGATTATGAAGTTGGATTTTCAGGCTGAAAAAGAATTTTTAAGAAGCTCCCTTTTCTTTTGAAGCATTAGCATCCAAAATTCATGAACTACTGTCCAAGTTCCTAGTATCATGCACTGAAGTGTCATCTTGCTCTTATCACTTAAAAAATTTTGTGATAATAAATTCACAGCATCACATGGAGATTGCCTGTACATTCAAGTTTGAATGCTGTGGGCTGCAATATGTTTTCTGTGAGTACTGGAGATTTCCTTCTATGATTGGAAAAGAGGGATTCGTGTTAGTACGTTTCCTTGTTAGGAAGGATACAAGTAGTCTTCTCAACAAATAGGTGCCATTTGCTTGCAGGGTTTGCAAAAAGACCCCTACATGTCCTCTGTAGATGCCATGCATGTAGTCTATTTCCTCTGTACAAATAACACAGCCAGGCTCGCATGTACTCGCAAACTTCAGGTTACAACAGAACATGCTCAGTGATTTCCTTACATCACAGATGTGGGCTTCCATGGCTTCCTTTGAGCGTTCTCCTGTCAGTGCTTTTGGCCCTTGCTCTCCTCACTGATATCATATGTTCAAGGAACCTCTGGAGTTCTATGACTGCAGTACGTACATAAACATTACATTACAATACTGTTCAATTTTCGTCATCCATTTTAAATCATAGAATGGTTTGATTTGGAAGGGACCCTTTAAGATCATCTCATCCAACTTGTCTGTAATGAACACGGCCATATCTACAGCTAGATCAGGTTGCTCAAGCCCCATCCAGACTGACCTTGAATGTCTCCAAGGATGGAGCATCTGTCACCTTTTTAAGCAACATTTTTTAGTTTGTGTAAAAAAAAAAATATATCCAGTCTAAATTTCTTCTCGTTTGATACCTTTTCTCTTTCTTCTGCCACAACAGACCCTGCTAAAGAGTCTGTTCTTTCTTAAGCACCTCTTTAGATACTGAACTTCCCTTTAGCTACTGATGTAAGGTATGGTTCATGTATTTCCAGGTGAACAAAGCACATAGGTCAGTCCCTGCTCTGCTCCTACTGAAAGAAGTGGCACATGCATCCATAATGTGAGAGGGATCTTGTCTGCACAAAACAAGAATCAGAGACAAAACATGAAGGAAGAGGGTTTAAAAAAAAAAAAAAAAAAAAAAAAGTTGGACTAAGTGGTGGATATGTATGCTGCTTCACTCATTTTTCTTTAACCTTGATCAGTTAGGGGATTTCTTTCATCAGTACATACCCGTGGGTATGCATATGGATATTCTTTTTGTGTTTTTCAAAACAAAATTGCAAATTTTTCTGCAAAAATTTCAACTCCCAGTTAATCACATTCATTTTAAGATGAAAAACTAGAAAATTCTGCTACTGTCATCTTAGCAAATTTCTCAGGCATACTCGTTCTCCTTTAGCATCCCCTTGTTTTGTTGCTTATCTGAGGCAGAGGGCACAGTTGATGATGGTGTTGATTTATAGACTTTGAATGAAAACTCCATGAAAAACAGAATGGGTTTGTGATATTTTTTTTTAAGCATTCTGCTTGGAAAACCAATTCCGTGATTGTCTTTAAATTGAATTTGCATATGCAAATTTTTACTTTTCCTTTTATCCTAGTTATTCATTAGTTTTAGTGTTGCATTCATTCAAGAAAACGTTGACAGAGGCTGATTACAAGTACAGGTTGATCCTCATCCTCTCTTCTCATTTCAGGAAAGATTCACTGAAGTATCTGCCTAGTGTTTAACACCAGGTAATTTATTTTTATATATATATCAGTTTTGAATGTCTGTTGTGATTGAAACTATGATGTTCGTAGTCTCTGATGGATACCTAGCAGGGAAGATGTAGTCTGATGCATGTTAAAAGCAAGGAAGTCTGTATAAATTTTTTCCATCTCATGAAGTCCCCCAAGGGCTGTGGCACTTACTGTCTTCTTGGAGTACCTATAGATTATCACTAATGACTTCAGAACTTCTTATTGAGCAGGAAGAGCTCTTGGCACAGCCCAATGGATAGTAACCACGTGGACCTGTTTCTTTTTCAAGGACAGGGAGAGGTAATGTAACTCAGAGCTGAACTGATTCTCCCAAACCTGCCAGCTATGCTCTCACTTGTGCTTCCTTAGATACTGAGAAAGACCCTACAAAGATTGTAATTTCCTCCTTCCCTTAGCTCTTTGCTCCTTTTCCACTCATCTTTGCTTCTTCATTACTCTTGTCATCATCTCTGTTCTCTCCTCCCCACATTCATCCTGGCTTGCCCCAGTTTTGATCCCAGATGTTCAGTTTAGGTCCTCGTATTTCCTGTGATTGATACATTCCAACTGACATGCTTCTCCCCATGATTCCTCCAGACTACGGTTAAATTTTCCATAGACTTAATGCTAAGCAGACTGCACTTAAGTATTTGGATGTCCCTCCAAACCAGAATAATGGTACAATCAGGCAGCTGAGATTGGTGTCATACCAAGGTATTTGAATTGGTTAAAGATGAGGGAAATTAAACATCATCGCTATGCCTCTTTTTGCCTTTCCTTGTCAATATGAATTCTTCCTTGTCTTGGAAATGGTCTGTTATTATTTTCTTTTCCATTAATATTTAGTTGGATCACAAGAAATACATGTCAGAAACGTTGCTTCTTCCAGTGCAAGCATACAGAATACTTATTTTTTATAAGGCTAGCGGAGAAGCAAGGCCCCTGGGAAGTGACTGGGATAGAACTGGAGGCATCCAGCAACCATATCTTCTGGAAATGTATGACTAGGATGGTGCTCTGCTCCAACTTCAGTCCAGCTTCCATGCTGATGCTATTAAAACTCAGATTTTCTGTGAAAGCCACTGCTAAGCCTTATCTTTTATTCAAAGATCACTGTTGTATATTATTCTAGCAAGACCGATGTAGCAGCGTGTCATCCTAGAAACAGCACAGGTACTCCCACAAAAAATCTTTCTCTGCTGTCGAGTGTCTATAAAGATTTGCCTATTGGAAACATTTTCAGTACAACAAGTAGTCTGCCAAGTTTCCTGAGGAATCATTCCACCTCCGAAACAGTTTATGGGGTGTTTACAGATATCAGCGCAATTAAAGCATCCTTTGCTATGACTAAAAAGTCTGTGCAATTGCCATTGCATCAAATTCTTTGAATGAAACACATTACAGTGGCTGTTACTGCACGCTAATCCAGTGTCTTAAGAGGATGTTAACTTAGAACATCATCGCAGTAGATTCTCGGCTATGTTGTGCCTTTTTTTCCAGTGTAATACTTTATCTCTCTTTTGAGAGGAGCCTATTATGTGATAAAGTGCATCTTGAGAGACCCTATTACATGACTGCATAGAGTTCTCAAATTGTCTGAAGTTTAAATATAGCATATTCAAATTAAAGCGAATGTAAATTTGTGTTTACTTATTTTGATGATTGGCTATGTAAAGTGAATGTTATTTAAAGCTGCTTCTTGATATATTCAGCTGTTGTATTGAAGTCCAGGCTAAAGCTGATCAACTCAATACTTTCTTTGACTTGTTCATCTTAAAAATACAATTTTTGCCTGAAATCTGCACAGAAGAATTGCTGAGTTGCAGAAAATGTGAATTTAGAATATATGAACCAAATGACAAATTTAGCTTCATTAAGTATTCCCTCTCCCCTACAAAATAAACTCCCATCTCTTGGGTGTAAACAGAATCAAGTGAGACATTCTAGGCACAAGAAATTACTTATTTGCTTGAATGTGCTGAAAGGACCAGCTTGCTGGGGTAGCCACTTGAAAATGCTAAAATAAACAACAAATGCATAACACTCTTCTGTCTAGTCCAAAATTAGACTTGCAGCAGCTGCAAGTCTGCTTTCTGAATGAACTTCCTGCGCGTTAATCTCAGCGCAGACAGTTTCTATCTTCCATTCAATTTTACAGCAAAACTAAAAAATAAAGAATTCCTTTCTTCAGAACAGTGGCAGTATTTTCTATTTTGTATGGGATGATTTGGGCTGTGGGGTGGCGTTTGTTGTGAAACCATACCTTAGGTTTTTGTTAACTGATGAATGTGGACAATTTGTGCTCTTAGAAAAACTTAAGTGCTTTGATTTGTTCCCTTGAATCATGGGCTTTCTTTGTCCAAACTTGTTAAGAGAAAAATTTCCTCTCTCTCAATTGTTTTTTCCTAATTTATTGTACTTCAGGTTTTGCAGTAAGCACGCATACACTGTACTTGCAGACTCTGCTGTCAAAAGTGATTTCAAGTGGGTAACTCATAGAACGGCTTGGGTTGGAAGGGATCTCAAGGATCATCAAGCTTCCACCCCCCTGCACTGTCAGGGCCACCAATCTCCATATCTAATACTAGACCAGGCTGTCCAGGGCCCCATCCAACCTGGCCTTGAACATCTCCAGGGGCGGGGCATCCACAACCTCTCTGGGCAGCCTGTGCCAGCACTTCACTACTCTCATAGTAAAGAACTTCCTCCTGATATCTTACCTAAATCTCTCTTCCTTTAACTTAAAACAATTTTGCCTTGTCCCCCCCTTTTAAAGGGCTGACTATCATCCTGCTTGTAGGCTCCCTTTAGGTACTGCAAACATACCGCATTGTGTGCAAATGTACATAGCATTTTGACTGTGTTATTTATTAAACGCTCATAAATATATAATAATGTAATTAGTTCAATGAATTGGGCCAATTTTAATGATTATTGAAGGTTACAAAATAATCAGCGTATCAAATTGCTATTATTTTAGCTGTGGTTACATCAAAAGTAGCTGTAATTCCCCTTAATACTTTAGTACTCTTTTGTTTTCCCCAGGCTGAGATTAACTGGAATCTACTACTTTAACTCCTATTATAGGAGTAGACACAGTACAGGCAAAATGGGAAAAATATACCTGATATTCATTGGAAGTCACCTCTAGAAATGACAGCAATGAGATCTGTCAGCCTTTGTATGTTCAAAGGGTTCTAGGGATTCCCTCGTTTCATATTTAGTGTTAAACCAATAACTGAACATTTTGGCAACAGTCCTGTAACCCAGTTTCCTGAGGACTGGTACTTTTTCAGCTAGCCATTCCCTCTTCAATATGCTCCTCCACAGAGGGATCTGAGGCCCATTTTGAAAATTCAGCCCAGTAGAGAATCCAAGCTGCTTATGTTATGTTGTTGTAATGTTAAGACACACAAATCCTATACAGCCTAGCTGAGAAGAATTTTTTGGTTAGTCATAGTATGTGAAGGCAGTGTTTGAGCACATGAGGGTAAATCTGAACAGTGACCCTTGATCACGTACAGTGCAAAGCTGTTAACCTTTAAGCACCACTGCTACCTTTTATCTAAAGCTTAGCTTAATGATTAGCCTGTGGCAGATAATTTGTTTGGAAATACTGTGAGTGAGTAACTTGCTTCGCAGAAAAGGAGGATGTGGTTGTCATCAACTGTTTGCTTTCCAGGCAAGTTCCTTAGCAGTATTACTTTGTTTTGTGCACAGAACGATATCTGAACTCTTGTTTTACGTGATAAATGTCTGAACTTTGAAAACTGACTGCAGCGCAAATGCCAATGGTGGTAAAGGCCGCCATGACGTAGGTATTTGAATTAGGTAGGATTCAGTGAACCTTCCAGAAGCAAGAGATATGATAGCACTTTATGACATGCAGTCAGCTATTTCTTCTCATGTGAAATCTTTCCTGGTCAATTAGTATGATCCATTCAAGTTCCCATCAGCTGACTAAATGGAAACAAAGCCTGAAATTTTTAAACCAGTATAAATTTTGCACAGATCATAGAATCATCGTGGTTGGAAAAGACCTCCAAGATTATCCAGTCCAACTATGTGCCTACCACCAGTATTTCCACACTAAACTGTGTCTTTTAGTACCACAAATAGATGTTTCCTGAACACCTCCAGAGATGATTGACTCAACCACCTCCCTGGGCAACCCATTCCAGTGCCTAACCAGCCTTTTAGAGAAGAAATTTCTTCTAACATCCAATATGAATCTCCATGAGAGATGCAACATCTTGACCTTGGTCTGCTGTTTGAATAGCTTTTCCTAAGTTCCAAACTGTAGGTGTTTCTATAGCCTGCAAGTCACTATGTTTGCTTTATCTTTTTAATTTGTCTTACTGAAATTCCTGAATTTTGTATACTGGCTTGATGTGTTGCTAATATTCTCTGAATTTTGTTTTGGGACATAAGTTGGTGTGTGCATCTGAATATGTGCACACTTAAACATGAAAATATCTTATATAGTTATTTCCTCAATTCATCTGAATTCTCGAAGGAGGTCTCTTTAACTTAAAAACACATAAAATGGAGCACTGTAGCCTGCAGCACACTCTCAGAAGTCTGGGTAAGGCTGTGCTGTTCTTGGGAGCAACAGTACTGAGGCATCTCTTTTGATCTTTTTTTTCCCCCTCATCTTTAAATATCTGACTTCTTTTTTTTTCTCATCACTTTCTCTCTTTGAAAACATTTCTTTTTTGCAAAGTTGTGCCCTTAGCAGTTTCTTTTCCAACCTGGCTTTCTAAAACTGGAGTGAAGGCTGCAGTGTGATCTTTGAGACCAAATCCTCTAAAGAACCCAGGAAGATGAATAAAGTCAGCTTTAGGCACGTACTAGTAAAACCAAATTGGTTAGGAGTAAAAGCCCATCTGAATGACCACAGTAAGTCATTTTTGGATGGTTGAAGATTTGTTTTTGGAATTCTGTGAGAGCATCAGGAATGCTATTTTGCCCATGTTGGATCTGGGGCATAAAAT